TAAAGATTCAGGTCTGTGCAAGTTTTCGTATGCGAGCTGATACTAGGAGAGAAGTTTTACCCAAAATTATAGAACTTTGTGTGGACACGCTTAGTTGGTGCCTCTACAAGCTGCTTAAACTTTTTACTGCAGTTTCAATTGTTTTGCAGTGAATAAGTATTTTAATAGGAAACCATTAGCTTAAAATTACTTATCAGTTTGTCTGCTCTGAATCATAAAACTTTTATAACCATACCTCAACAGCTCAAAATATTTTAGGTCTTTTATAATAGGATGTCACACACATTGTTCAAGACTTCGCAACTTGAAATCTTTTGCTGATCTTCTTCCATGTATTCATACATTTATTGAAAAGTCTTAAATAAAATTTCGGTGAATAAAATATAACAAAAACGAAGATTTGTCGATTGGTAATAAACAGGCGCACAATGTTGACAAATATTCTGCTCCGCCTTTTTTTTTATGCTAATGAACTCCAAGATAAATTGACTAGAGGTTTCTTATTACCGCACTATATAGTTTTAATTTTCTGTTATTGAAGCAATTCCACTAAACCCTTCGTGTTCTTTCGTAACACCTTCTTGAAAAGGCTCCTGCTTTTGCACAGAATTCTAGGTAAGTGGAAATGTAATATCATATTTTCGAGAAGTGTAGCAACCTCCCCAATACGAGCTCATACGCGTTTCCACTTGAGACAAACCACCGCTCTATGTTTCGACGACGGCAACGAGAACGCCGGAAAAGCAACTCTTCCGCATTACACTTTTTTGTACATCTTTTTGCCGTCAATGCACGACTTCGAAGTAAAATTGCCTAATTTCACGTTTTATGGAGAGCGCCAGACAGACGACGTCGAACTTTCTCTTCTTTTTAATTCTGAACTTGGATATGGCTCTTAGGAGTTCAACGACAGGAGAGTTTGTTTGACAAACAAAAGGAGTTGCCATAATCAAGCTGAAGCGTGGAATTACGCGAAGCCATTTCTATTAAACGTTTTCGCTGCCGTCGGGAGCTCAGACATGCGAATAAGATTTAAGTTAAAAAAAATATTCAGATAGTCTCTTCTTGTGGTGCAATGAGAGAAAAGGGATGAAAATTCTCAAGGAATTTTACAAAAATGTGCACCAGCCGCAGTTAAACAGTGGCACCCAACGATGGTTTCCTCCTAAAAACATTGAAAGCACTTTTTAGGCTATCCAGAGTACTTTTAGATCTGTTAAGTAGAAATACACGTTGTAGTTAATTTTTTTATCTCAGGTAATTTTTGTTTTTCTTTTGTTTTTGGTTATGCTAATGAAGTTGAAACAACGGAAAAATGAAAATTACCTGAGATAAAAAATTAACTACAACATACACTTTAGGCGGCATTTTTGTATCATCCTAGGGCAACTTTATTTAGTCTTTTCGAAATTACAAGGGGTTCAGTATTTTTCCCGAAAATTTTAGATGCAATTCTTTGTATTACAAAAGTGACAATATTTCTGATTCCTCTCTCAATCACATTTTTTCTTTTTTGCGAAGAATAGCGTAGTGGGGGGAGTAAAATCTGAAAAATTAAACTCCAGGAAATCATAGTGAATTTATTAGAAGCTTCGAAAATTGTACATGAATTGAACGGTCGTTTTCTAGAAATTGTTAGCCGTCCTCAAGCTACAGAAAATTCTAGGCAATATTTACTTCTCCGAACAGTTAACAGTCTTTGGCCGGTGCCCTTGGTTAAATGCGAGCAGTCGCTACATTCATGTTATATAAAAAGCATATTTCAAAAACTGAGAGAAAACTGAGAAGATAGAACTTTTTTAATAACTTAACTACGATAAAAGTTTCTTTACAAATACCATCATGAGATAAAGCTTTAGAGAGCATAATATCACGAAATGCAAACACAAAAGGCCGAAATATTTTTCCGGTATTTTCTCGATCAACCTTGGGCAAACCATATTTAATAGTCATTTTTTTCTGAAAGTCTTCAGAGTAAAACACCTGGAGTATCTGGAGTAAAATGACATTCAAAATGGATTTGGAAGGCAAATTATTGCAAATTTTAACAACTTTTTCCTGAAAAATCCTCTCTTTGCAACGATTTAGCCATCAGCAATTTCGCCTTCAGCAACTTTCAGCAAAAAATCATGACCTCTTGAAACCTGTCTTGAAGCCGAAATCTTCTTTAGTGCCGTAGTGACGAATGTGCTTGAGAAAAAAATATATCGGCTAATAGGAGGTGTTAAAACGGTAGAGCCGACGAATGGAGGAAAATTATAAGAGACTGAATAAGAAACGAAAACAACTCTTCATTTGATTGTAAATGTTTAGCACGAAAGTACTAACTGAGGCCGGACACCTCATAAATTTCACGTCTCCTATACTGGAGATAGGAGGTACACTTTACGTGTTCATCCGAGCCACGAGAAGGTCTGGCCGTTTGCAGGACAAATGCAATACCTTCACTCAGTTATTTCAAGACTCTCAGTATTGGTCCGGCCTCGAGGATCGACCTCGCGGCCTTCCGCTCAGGAATCAAGTGCTCTACCGAGTTAGCTAATGGCCTTATTCAAGGTACTGAAAAGGTACTGCGTAAGATCTACCAGACGGAAGGCTTTATCATGCTGCCGCCTCGCAGCCTCGCGTCTTGCTTCGTGAGGCTGCTCGTTGGCAATAATTCAAAAATTTAAAGCTACTTATTTATTGCCAACGAGCAGATTACAATTTTTTCCTTGCATTTTATTATTTCGCAACTTCAGTTTTACATTTCTTCACCTAGAACTGATCATTATTTCCGGCAAGAGAATCTTCTTCACTAAATAGCCATTTTTGTCACCCATGGTTTCTCACGTTCAGAAGAGAAAAATATATAGTGTTTTGTAAGAATAACCAAGGGAAAAGAGAACGTCATAATATTACTGAAAGATTGCCATTAACTAAGATCAGTACTTGGAAAAAATAAACAGCAAAAAACACATGTACGAACCTTTTCAGCTGACAAGTTGCGGTCATTTTAATTTCGAGGAGTTTGGGGCAATTTTGAAGCATTTTGAGTACCAAAGATCTGTCGTACAAAAAATGCTGAAATTAAATATTAAAGACTGATGGTAAATTTTAAGCTCGGTGAAGAAATGAGAAATGATGTGATCAACATGTCATGAGTACGGGACAAAGAAAAAAATCTGAGTCCCTGACAGGGATAATAGGTCAGAATTCCTGTCGGAGAACATTTCTCAAGCAATGTTGAACTTGTACGTACATATATTGATTCTGGTTATTCACTGAGACAAAAACATGCTTAAGACGTTGATCGATGTGAAGTTTCCGTCTTTCATTTTCCTCTTCTTGGGGCAGTTTTTTGTTCTGGATATTTTTTTCGCAGAAGTTACGATGTTCAATCGGCTTGGCAAAACGTGCGTTTTTTTTTCCCGCATTTTCTATGGAGCTCCACTACCAGACTGAGATGAGGGTTTTAGAGGGCTACTTGTTGAGGTAGTAACAGTTACATTGGAAGTTGACAGCTGGTTATTCTGTCGTTTTCCTTTCTTTTTTTTATTTTCAATTTAACAGGCAGTCAAGAAATAAAATCATGTCAATGTACACTGATTCCATGTCAGCTCAGATTGGCATTACCACAATGTTTGCAATTCTTGTGGCTGCAGATCTTGTTGGGAATACTATTGTATGCTTGATTATAATTGTCTTTCATGACATGAGGTAAGGGCTCTATTTTGTATCATTTCGATTGCATGGTGATCTTATATCTTTTAACAGAGCTGAGATGAATAATTTCCACATTTTCACAAATTTTGTTGCTATAATATCCAAAAATGAAAAGAAACTTGACGAACTTCGAAATTACCATTTCAGGAATGAGTGCCAGTTAAGTAACACCCGAATCACCTACTCAGCGTTAAGAGCTAGGAAACAATCATACTATGCCCGAAGATGCAGTACTTTGGTATTGCGATCACCAAATGACGTAACACAAGAGGCAATACGCAGACTACAAGACACATTAACAAACGATTGTTTCCGTCACTACCGACCCTGAGGGCATTAGTTGTTAGATACAATTTTTTCCCTTTTCTTCGTGCGAAGACGCACTGGCTAAGACAGGAATCGCGAGATTAAAGCAACGGCGTTAAGATGCTTGTGTTGATTTTGTAAAAATAGTTAGTCCTGATAGCCCAATCTTCCCTTTATTCAAAGCACAATTGTTCACTCATCTTCAGCTTACTGTACACGTTCAAATTGATCATTTACAACCCTACCATCTAATACTAATCGTTTCCCGAATTTTGTAACCGTAAAAAATGCCACCGTTAGGGTCCTCATTATGTATTGTTTATGTAACTGACCTGTACCTGCAATTCAGTTCAAAGCTATAAAAGGTGTTAACAAACAAGTCATTCATTCATTAATTCATTCATTCTTTCAATATTTACCAATGGATAGAAAGCAATTGTTTGTAAGCAAAACCAGTTAGTAAAAGCTTTGATTATGTTTTTTGATAGTGTTTCGGGGATTTTGTTAAGTGAGATCAGTTCGGGTCTAATTTTGTTGCAAATTTAGTAAAAAAAGGATTCTTTTTGTCAGTAAACCGACTTACAAGTCAAAGTTTTTCTCCTTCAGTCTTTTGGCAGTTGTCGGGTACAACTTCTTCATTTATCGCTAACTAAAATTTGGTCTTCCGAAACCGTCGGCAAAAAAGATTCCATTCACTTTCTCTCTGAAAACAGTGAATAGATAGCCGTGGATATCCCAAACTCAATTCCAGGCTTTCAGATTGTGTGGGGATGACGCCTAAGTGAAAGGCACTCGAAAAGGGGGCGGTCATGTTCGCGCTTTCTAAATTTCGTGGACCCGAGTATCTCAGGGTCTGGAACAGGCTAGAACCCAATCAAAACGCTGCCAATCTTCTTTCCACTGATTTGATAAACACTAGACTATATATCGAGACTACAAAATGTATGTTCAAATTGGACGGTTTTTTTTCCCTTTATAATAGAACGCCCATGAACTTCTTGCTTCTCAATTTGGCTGTGGCGGACATGATGGTTGCTCTCTTTATCACGCCACGTTTTATTCTGAGTCACTTTTTTACGCACCCTGATGGAAAGACCGGTACTTTATTCTGTAAGCTGCTGACAGGTGGGAATTTTACTTGGACGGGCGGGGCTGCTTCTGTGTTCACCTTAGTTGCCATCGCTTTTGAAAGATACTATGCAGTGATGTATCCGTATGGCAATAAAGGAAAGTTGACCTACAACAAGTTGATGGTGAGCGAAACTGAATGTGTATGAATGAGAGCACATGTCATGAGTTAACCTAAACTGCTGGAAAAATTTGGCTATCTCTTAGTCTCCTGCGATGAAAAGGGGATAAGAATTCCTCTTCCCCCAGCAGCTTCTGGAACACTGAGGAAGAAGACCCTCACGCCGTTTCACCCCAGGTGGCTCGATAACTGCAGTTTAATGATCTCACGCAATAGTGATTACGTCATAGCTTCACCACCATTCACATGCATGCAACTTTTGGTAATTTTTCCCCGCTTGTACTTGCCTATTACCATTTTTTTTAAACTAGCCATTTTCCGCACAAAACTGTCATCAAATCTACCAAATTCAGCAAGAAACAGGTTTTCTAATGAAACACGGGTGAGGATTTTCCTGAAAGCGACAAAATTTTCTCCGTCAGTACGTTTACCGCTGTTAGCCTCCAGCCGCGCACCGATTTTCTTTGACGATCCATCAGTGAGGAATCATATCACTGAACAAGAGATGATAAGACTCGCAAATGAATTTAAACCCATTTTGGGCTCTCACTTTTTTCCCGCTTGTTTTTTTGTTCGTCCGTCCTGACTACTTAAACTGACCAATTGATGACTAACATCATCTCTAACTTATATGTCAGATCATTATTCCTACGTCATGGACTTCAGCAGCAATTCTCAACGTCCCACTGTTTTTGACAATTTACTTCGATAAAGAAGTCAATTTCTGCATGGAATATTGGCCCAATGAATGGCTACCCAAGGCCTACAGTTCCACTTGGTTCTTTGTGGCTGGTATCATTCCTGTGACACTGATGACTGCTTTGTATTCCAGAGTGGTGTATTCTTTGTGGTTTAAGCAGCATCAGAATAATTCCGAAAACACCAATCAGGTAGTTTTTGTTAATGACTGATATTAGGTCATGCACTTACTGAAGATCGTTTCACTTTCGACGTATTATAGTGTATAATTGCTGCTTGATTATCCATCGTTTGAAGGAAAAAGCCCATGAGAACCAAACCATAGCTATGACACCTCAAAAATCTCACGATAATGAAATAACTCATGGATTTCAGTGACACAACTCTCAGGTATTAAAAGTAATTCTGAGTTGTGTTTTTGGTCGTCATAATGTGCATATGTAAAAATAGTGTTGATCTGAATCTCTTAGGCAGAGAGAGGAAGAGAAGCTCCTAAAGTGGTTTTAATGTTCTTTTTAGGGTGTTATGAAAGTGCGCAAAAGAGTAACCAAGATGGTTTTGGCAGTTAGTGTTATCTACGGATTGTGTTGGATGCCAGGTTTGACGATATATGCGCTGAATTACTTCAGTCCTTCTCAAAATTACGGAGACGTCACTTACATCACTACCATTGTTCTTGTCACATGCAATTCGACAGTCAATCCCTTTATTTATGTCTTTGTAAACCAGAAGTTCCGAAAGAAGATTAAGACTCTGCTGGGCTGTGAAATTACTTGCGGTAACAGGATTGAACCCACCGTTAACTCAAGTCAAACTACCAATGATCAAACAAATACCGTCACCAAACCAACTTTGGCAGAAGAAACTTGCGCCGGAGACAATAACTGCGAATTTAAAGTTTAAATTATATTCTTCCTCGAATGATAGTCAATGGCGTTTGTTTCCAGTTTTTTTGGTCCAAAATGGGTAATTATTAGAGAAAAAGCGATTGTTTTAAACTTAACTCGAGGGAAATTCTTCCTTACGCATTTTTTATGCTTTATTTTTTTCTCTCTGTACTCGTACCAAAGTCAAATGAAATACAATTTGGCTTCGACGTGGAATAGTTTTTCAACGAACTCAAGCCATGAATCAGAATTTGATTCCAATAGCGATATTTCCCGTTACGTCACCTTTTGATAATTTAATTTATTTTTAATTGCCAGTGACTCATTGGTTATTAAAACTATGAGTTTTTTGGCCCCGTTTGATTTAGCGGTTGTTGCATGTGAACGACAAAAACATTGTTCTTGGGGGCATTTGTTTAATATTATTTTCACTAAAAAACTGAAATTTCACCGAATTACATTCACTTCTGGCATAGCACAACTGTAGACATTTTAAATTCTGCAAGCAGAATACTGCAATGCTGATCGTGCTACGTGAAAATTAACTCTGCAAGACATCAACACGACGCCGCAAGGACTCAAAACAGAGCGGGATTGTAGCCATAGAGAGCTGTTTCGCCCTCTTTGGGGCTCGTCAGTATGGCTTAACAACCAGCAAAAGCTCTGGTGAAAAATATATCCGCGCACTGCGAATGACTCATTTGCATGACAGTACAATAAAATAAAGAAAGGAATGCTTAGAAAATTTAGCACGCGTTTTATATACTACATCATAGTCAAAGGACTCAACAGATGTGCAGTTTTGTCCCAGGCCCTTCAAGTTTACTTCAATTCTGGCCAAAACGTTTTGGACACTTCTTTCCTGGGTCAAGACCGGGTGTCAGTCGTCAAACTCTTTCAGTTAAAATCTTGTTCAGGTTAAGGAATTCAAGTATAGAGTGGGGTATGTTCCTGGATTATCGCTTTACTGGAAGATCGCAAACAAAGAGTCAAAGGCTTGTAAGTCTGAGTGGGAGATATCGCGGAAGAGGTACCACAAGGGAGAGGGCATGGATTGGTTGTTCAATTTAAAACCTTTACTCAACAAGCATCTGTCTGGGCATGGATAATTGTAGACACACATTTCCACAAACTTTATTTTTCCTTTCATTCAGTTTCTGGTTCTTATTTACGGGCTCTCCAAAAGAGACTACCAATATGACTTCGGGTTCCTGGGCAGAGCTTTGGTCGTACTTAGGACCACTTCGAGAGACGGATGACAAATGTCAGAGCGAGGTACGACGGAAGTGCCGGTGCAACCTCAATTCATTTTGAAAACCTCGAAGAAATTGAAGTTAAGTTGTCTGCATATTGGTGTTCCCTTCTTTTAAGTTGTAAATATAATATTTTATGTCTCTCATCTTATTGCTGTTGCTTAGCCGTATGTATCCGCTCTCCTTTAGAATTAAGGAACCAAAACAAAATTAAAATTTAAAAACAAAGAAAACAAAAAAAACAGTGTATTAGAATTAGGAATAGTTATCGGGTTGACCATGAGCTTTGCAAGGCGTTAGTCAAAGGCACCGGTTTTTTCCCACCTCAAAATTATAGTCCAAAATAAGACCAAATGAGATCGTATCGATAATAGAGAAAATCACCAAAGGAACTCTGGTGTACTCCTTTGATCACCGCTGCCACATGTGAATTAGCCACTATGCGTATCCAATTATCTTATCCATTTACGCTTTCTTGCATGAGTATAATCGCTTACCGTATTTAAACGATCATTGTATTTCTACCGAGGAAGGACTGACAAGGGAACTGTTATTTAGTTTGAAACTCCCAAATCCCAATATTACTTTTGGTGTATTATAAAGTTGTTTGAACACTAATTAACACAGTGAGAGGTTTGACCCCAGGAGTCATTTCAAAAGTTGGTTGAGTTTGATCGTCCGGGTGAACGTAGTCCTGAATAGGACTGTTGTTGTTGACAGTGACTGACGTTTCGACATCCTGTGCGGTAGTCATGTTCAGAGTCAGAGTGAGTTGTATCGCGTCAGTTGATGGTGTTTTCCTGTGGCGGTTGATCTGATTGGTCAATTACGTCGCGGTGTTATTGGCCGTCTGTCAGTTAAGCCGTGATGTTACTGGCTATGAAGGCTCGTAATCAGTAGTTGGTGCGTTTCGATACTTCCATTGCTACAGTTAAACAGTCGTCTATGGCTAGTCAAATTGTCAGTTCTCCAGTCGTTCTCTCGTAGTTAGTTTTGCTTGATCTCGTCAAGTCGTTTGTACGGTGCTGGTAACTGTTGGGTACGATTCAGTGGCGTTTGTTCTAAGTTAGTAAATTTAAACCAGCTTTCTAAAGTAAGACGTTGATAGTAGTCTGTAGAATACGTTATACATGTCGCAGAGTCCCAGTCAATTTGATGTTTCTTCTGTAAATGGTGCTCAGCAATGTGATTGTTGACGTCACCATTCCTCGTCGCTCGTTTGTGTTCGGTCTGTCGCGTGCTAAGGTTTCTGCCGATTTCACCAATGTAAGAAGACTGGCAGTCGCAGCATTTGATCTTGTATACTGATCCCTGTCTGTCCTCCGGTTTGTCTTTGTCCTTAACATTAGTAAGCAGTCGTCGTAAAGTGGTTATCGGTTCGTGTGCAAGACGTATATTGAAAGGTTGTAATATACATGCGATAGTTTCAGAGGTGCCTCTGATGTACGGTATAGTCGCTGTCGTAAAAGGGCCAGAGTTGACGTTGGTCTGAGTGTTGGAATTAGTGTTACTGTGAGTGTTCCGTCTAACAAAGTCCGTGTTGTAATAATTAACACAATTTGGTTGTATAGTTTAACGAAACTACCTCCTTTTCGATCCTCAACTCGGTACCTTATGCAAAGGCAATATTTAATCTAGGTGATGGGAAATATCTATACTCCTGTAATGTGACGTATATATATTCTACTAGGCCGTTTCCAAAGCCATTTTTAAGAGAACGTATTAGAACAATTATCTATTGGAAAACACGAGTTAAATTCGAAACAAGACAGCTGGTCACACCTTTGATTTGTGACCTTGATTCCAAACCAGCGTTGTTACTGGTTCTCTCTTGATGAAGGGTTTTGGAGATGGTCGTCTTTTCAACATTGGGGTTAAAGCTATACAAAAATAGTTGAATGCACGTTTTCGTCTTGGAAACTTTAAATGTTAGGTTTCTTCTCTGTATAATTGAAACCTACCATGACTTACAATAACACTTAGGCATGAATCGCTGCTTGTGCCAAAAAGCCACTTTACTACCGCAAAGGAAATTGCTTTCCCTAATACAGGGTGTTTTCAGCTGTGGAGAGGATAACGAACCAATTTCTCCAACGAATCTTGTTATTTTAAGGCCGAAAACGTTTCGCACTTCTACCCCTAAATTCGAATAATAATCAGTTTTCTCTACCCCATTAAAACTTGGGTCACGCGCCTTGACACCTTTTAATTTCTCTGTTCCAAGTTGAACCAGTTTTAAGCAAATTTCACTCGTTTTACTAACTTAAAACTAAAATCTGTTTCGATAGAATCTCGGGAAAACTTGATACCTTTCTGACTAGCGATTTCAATTCTTGCAAGGGAATTCGGTCTTGAATGTATTACTAGTTTTGCAAAATTTTTACAGTAACAGCTGGAAACAGTTCAATTACGGTTTCTTTTGATCTTATACTTATAAACACTTTCAAACACTTATTTTCTGCATATGAATGCTATTGATCTTTTCAGTATAAATAGAAGCACTCTGTAAGCTAGGATATATTCAGTTTTAGCTCTGGTCAAGCTTGTCATTGCTGAACAGAAGAAGATTAAACCAAGTTCAACTGCCAAGTCTTGTTTGTTTATTCCTTCAAAATCTGTACCCTACATAAATGCTTCTCCCATTTTTCACAACTCACTCCCAAGCTACCTGTCAGATGAGCTTAAGGGCGTTGCAGAAGCGCGCTAATTACTTTTTCGCACGCCCTCACCTATCAGGGGGCACTGGGACTCGCTAGTTTAAATCCGAGGAAGACTTACGACCTATATCAATACTACCTGTTAAACAATGATAAGACTGAACTCCTGGTTCTGCACGCTAAACATCGCCCTAAGCCACCATTAGATTCGATTACTGTCGGTGATGCTACTGTGGAGCACACATCTAGCGCACGGAACATTGGTGCCGTCTTCGACGATACCATGAGTTTCGTGGAACACGTCAATGAACTATGCAGGACAGCTCGTGTTAAAAACATTTCACTCGTTCGCTGCGCTCACTCGTGAAATATTTTTCAACACTCGAAGAGAAATTTCGTATCTCCAAGCGGCCATGTAATATCCTCTATTTATCACATCAGAAACATTAGTCGCATACGTCCATGCCTTAGTATTGACTCAACCAAAACACTAGAGCATGCATTAGTAACGTCTCGCTTAGATCGTTGTAATTCGCTTCTCTATGGCCTACCTGATTATCTTATTCAGAGACTACAATATGTTATGAACGCGGCGGCCAAAGTGATCACTTGCAAGCGAAAGTTTGATCATGTCACACCACTACTTATTGAGTTACACTGGCTCCCCGTCCGTCAGCGTATTGTTTTTAAGATCTTATTGTACACCTTGAAGGCACTCCATGGTGCGACTCCAAGTACCTGACTGAGCTCATCAGTCCTTATGTTCCTAGGAGAGCTCTTAGGTCTGCTGACCAACTTCTACTAAAGCAGCCAAGACACAAGCTCAAATTGATTGGCTTGAGGGCTTTCTCAGTGTGCGCGCCTTACCTCTGGAACTAGCTTTCATTTGAGATTAAAAGCAACGCATCTGTCTCCATCTTTAAAGCTAAGCTTAAGACCTATCTTTTTCGACAAACATATTTTTAGACTTTTTTCGATTCTTAGGATTTTTTACATTTTTTAATGTATAGATTATAATATATTTGACACTGTAAAGCGCATTTGGGCATTAGGAAAATGCCCGATAGAAATGGATTATTTATTATTATTATTATTTATTATTATTA